TGGATGTGTCTCTGTAATTTCTCTCAGTATAATGAACTTCTTCAAACCAAGGTCAAATGTATGATAGCACTAGCTGAATATAGCAAATAAAATAAACAGCACTGGAATAAACCGGCCTCTGCGCTTCATCTGCTGAATCTGCCATGTGCAGCGTCCGTCAGTGTGTTCCACTTCAGCAGATCATCAGCGGCTGCATGCCTCATGTTTCATTTCAATACATTTCTCACTAGTGTTCAACAGTAATGTCTATTTCAGTAGTCTCCTTCATCCATAGATATATACACTAGATATCGCATAGGGACCCTGAGCATGCGTCAATAGCGCCGCCATATTGCTACAGTGCTCCCAGGACAAGTGTCATTCAACCGCACTAGTCAAGACAGTGTTATTACCTGAAGATGCGGGACTTTAGCGCTGTCTACAGGTGTAGTAACGAGCAAACAAAGAAAACAAAGCACAAAGGCAGAACATTTCAGAGGTAATATTCAGTTTTTTTCTGTTTTTGTATGTTCTGAACTCTTGTGCTAATCAGGTAACGTTATTGATGATAACAGTCTCTTACTGCATTCACCATACAGCAAAGCAGCTCCAACTCATTCTAAACACTCGGCTTATGCTAGTTTTGTTGAATAAAATCAGCAAACAATGCAAAAGAAATATGACAACGAGATGCTGCGCTGCCAGAAACTTGTGTTATTGTCGGCTAGTGAACGAGTCGCTCATAAGGGAGGTTCATTCACAAGCGAATCGCTCTCTCCGTCAGTATGAGCAGTGAAAGCAGGAGAGGAGCTGTGCTTCAGGACATGATGAGATCAAATTTAACAGGGAGGGTGAATAGTACATTTCTGTACACACAAACACAAGCGTTTTGTCAATGCCCATGTGGTCACTGATCCATCAATGTAGAAAAGTGATGTCAAATTATCATTTTCGTAATAAAAAAAAATAAAAGATTGCATACTAACATCCGGGAAAACTCCCGATCACAGATATATGTGTATATGTGTATATCTCTGGCTCTGGATGGCCACAGTCCTCCACTGCACCTTGGTCCCGCATTCATTTCAAAAGAGCGCTACCCTGTTCCAAGATGGCGGCGCTATTGACGAATTACTTCCAATAGACAACAACAGGGTAGGCGACATCTAATGTATATATCCATGTCCTCCATCTAGCAGCAATATTAGTCTAATGAACGCCATGATACTGAGCCAAAACCATCAGTGACCCCCCCATGCTTGACTCTGGGCATCAGTGGTCTGGGTGGGCCGCTTCTGTGGGGCTTCTCCACACCGTAACTCTCCCGAATGTGGGAAACACAGTGAAGCTGGATCATCAGAGAACAGCACATGCTCCACACCGTCCACAGCTCCAGATCTCCACCGCTGCTCCACTGAAGCCGGCGTTCGGCGTGGGCAGGAGTGAGCAGAGGTTTGGGTCATGTACATTGACCTGGTGGAGCTCCAGAGCAGCAGTTCTGCTGGACACAGGAGAGTGGAGCTGCACATGTCATTCTGCAGTGAGTCGGGCCGCTGTGCTCTCATGTGTTCTGGGTGAATCAGGGTTAGCAGCTCTTTCAGCTTCCTCCAGCCTCCACAGCTCCTCCTGCTGGATGTGCTTCCTCTTCTTCTTGGTGGTCTGCTGACATTACTCTGGACACCGCGGCTCTCGATCATCACACACACCTGCTGTCTCACTTAGACACACAGCAACACTCTGTCCTCTTCTGAGCTCTGCTGTGTGCCCATAATGCAGTGTGTGTGCAGTATGTTCAGCTAGGGCTGGGTATCGAGTTCGATACTTTTTAAGCACCTACTGAATCATCTCGATACTATTGAGTATCGAAAAATCCAAGGGTATAATCTTGTCAACGTTAGTGAGCTAGAAAACCTGCGGCATCCTGAACGTGCCCGGATCAAATGCTGGTGATTGGCTGCGCGAGGCTGTCTTGAAAATCAATAGTTTATGGCGGCTACACCCACTCGCTCAGAGCTTGTCAAATGTGCGGCAGTAATGCGTACACTACACTTAAACGCATTTTTGCATAGTTTGACTGCAAGAAGATCACGCCGGCGCAGTCATCACTACAGCCGGCAGCTCGCTCTCTGCAACTTTCACATGGTCGCCCACTGAAGCTGAGCATGGCTGATCCTGGTCAGTGTGTGGATGGGAGACCACATGGGAAAGCTGGGTTGCTGTTGGCAGTGGTGTTAGTGAGTCCAGCAGGGGGCGCTCAACCTGTGGTCTGTGTGGGTCCTAATGCCCCAGTATAGTGATGGAGACTCTATACTGCTCAGTGAGCGCCGTCTTTCGGATGAGACGTTAAACCGAGGCCTCGACTCTCTGTGGTCGTCATATGAAACAGTCCCTTAAAAGTCTCGTCTCGCTTTCAGTTTTGGGCTTTGGTGTGTTTTGCACTCACACACAAGTGAACCGCGCTCAGGCCCACTGATAGTGTGAGTACACCCTAAAAAAGTGTGTAAACGGACAAGCAAAAACATCTGATATAGGCAACAAATCAGAACTGGGCATCCAGACCTGACCGTGTAAACCGGGGGTGCGGGGTAAATTTATTGATCCTTTTTTTGGACCTGGCGTACGCTGTGTAACGTGACTGTTTCGATGAGTTGATACTAAAATGCTTTAAGGTGAACAGTAAATGATGAAGTTTACCTCACATTAAACTGATCTTATTGAAGTGTCCTCATCCTTGTCTGCATTAACAGCTGAGCGTTCATGTTTTCTTCACATTAATGTTATAGTCTCTGAAAGATGAATGCCACAGGATCACTACAGTTTCATTGTTAAAGGTTTGCTGCCTTTTACTACAGTGGAGATGGATTAGATTTACTGGATGAGCATTTATCAATGCAGGAACCAAAAACAGTCTAAATGAGTCTGTGTGATATAAGTGTTCAATCATAATAATATGAAGCTGCGAGAACACTCCTGTGTGCAAATAATACAAAAATAACTTTATTCAATGATTTATCCATGAGAGGATCAGAAAGCTCTCGCATTAAATCCAGAATATCTTCATTTGAGGATAATTAATGACAGAATTAAAATTTAAGGGTGAACTAAATCTTCAAGCAGCAGTAAGCCTCACAAATACTCATAATTGATGGACTTAAAGCTGCTGGAACTTTATTAAAACTGTTTGCACTAATATATTGTGTGACCTACACTCTCTTCATTTTGTGCTTTTGTTTATTGGTCTTGGAGATAAGCCTGCTGTGAACACAAACATCCTGAAAAATAAACCCAGAGTTTCTCAGAGATTATGTGCTATGTAATCTTGTGAAAATATATTTCTTAAAATAAAAGTATTGATGGAACCAGTATTGAAATCAGGGTATTGGTATGGAAAATTTTGGAGTGATAGCCAGCCCTACATTCAGCAGAACTGTGCTGTTCCTCTGCTGATGAAGCTTCACTCTGCTGGACTGAAGATCAGTGAAGATGAACAGCAGCTGCTCAAACCCACCACACTACACTGAACAGTGTTGCAGTTTCATTGTCCAAACCCTGTGTGTGCGCTAGAGTCTCCCATGGTAAATTTGTCTTTGGTGACGGGTCAGGCTAAGTGCAGTTCTTAAACCCCTTATGAGGACCGGGAACTCACCTGGTGTGGCGCAGCCGGAGTCTCACTCTGGAGCCAGGCCTGGGGTTGGGGCTTGTATGTGAGCGCCTGGTGGCTGGATTTCATGCCACAGGACTGTCCGGGCTCAGCTCAAAGGAACAATTGAGCATGGTGTCAACGCCACAGCCTACCCGAGTATTGCTGCTGACCATGTCCATCCCTTTATGAGCACAGTGTCTCCATCTTCTGATGGCTACTTCCAGCAGGATAACACAGCATGTCATAAAGCTCAATCATCTCAGACTGGTGTCTTGAACATGACGTTGAGTTCACTGTACTCAAATGGCCTCCACAGTCACCAGAGCTCAATCCAATAGAGCTGCTTTGGGATGTGGTGGAACGGGAGATTGGCATCATGGATGTGCAGCCGACAAATCTGCAGCAACTGTGTGATGCTATCATGACAATATGGAGCAAAATCTCTGAGGAATATTTCCAGCAGCTTGTTGAATCTCTGACATCAAGGATTGAGGCAGATCTGAAGACAAAAGGGGTCCGACCCGGTACTAGTAAAGTGAGGTGTACCTAATAAAGTGGCCGCTGAGTCTATCTCTGTGTGTATATATATATATATATTGTATGTGTGTGTATTAGTCATCTTCTGTGGATGTCGCTCTGGCTTGTTGCCATGGAGATGGAGCATCAGCAGAGATATGGGGGATTCAGCAGTGTCCATGGGGTCTTGTGAACACTCACACACACACACACACACACACACACACATTAGGAGAGATGGATGGAGTTTCACCGTCAGCTGGAGTCAGAGGATGCCGTTTCCTGTGGTTGCCAAGGCAACAGTTGCCGGCCTGGTCGGGGGTGGAGGTGCAGTCGTTTAGGGTGTCTGAGGCAGACTGGAGTTGCACACATATTCACTCTACACACAATCTCACTCACTCTCACTCTCACACACACACACACAAGACCCGAATCAGCAAAATGCAAATGCGCTGAGATCTCTGAGCAATGAAGTTATGATGTTCATCCAGCGTCACACTGATGACACACACACACACACACACACAGAGCTCTTTAATATTCATGAGGACATGCATATGCTGGGTTGATGTGAGTGTGAGGTGTTGCGTTGATCTCCGGTGTGTGTGTTCTGTGTGTCTCCATTGATCTGCTATTGATGGTCTCGAGCTGCTCTTCACTGTTATACAGCAGATTATGATCTATAATTCAGAGCTTTATGACTGATGAACAGCAGTCAGAGCTAAAGAAGAGCTCCAATCAGCTCCATATCATGCCTTCATACACAATCACAGCACTGATGATGGATGACACACACACACAAACGCACACGCACACACACACACACACACACACACACACACACACACACACACACACACAC